AAGTCACAATTACAAAGCAAACTGAGACCTCTATCATTTCACAGACTCATTTCAGTGCATCCAAAGTAAAGGTTCAGCTGATTCATATGCGGGATTGGACAGGGAGTAGCTGCAGAAAGACCCCACCCAGACAGAGAGCCAGACCTCCTTTATACTGTTGCTGATGCCCGTGGAATCGCAACAAAAGGATCACAGCATTCTCTCCAAACAGGAACCCCCTACCAAGCCCACATATCCTCTTTCAGTAGTGAAAAAGATTAGTATCCCTTGTTGTGTGTGTCAAGAGTCAAAATATAAAATCGAGGCTCTTATCCACACTCCTCTTGTGTCATGCCTTTATTGCACTGACTGCATGGGGAGCATCTGCTCCCAGCCTGGATTGTGGTGGCAACTGAGAGCATTCTGTGCACAAAAAGGATGGAAGCCAAAGGTTGCAAACCCACCAGGATGAGGTGCTGCTTCCTGATGGGCAGGCAGCAGAGTATCACTACCTCCAGATGTACTCTGGAAGTTGTACCTTCCCTTCCGTCAAATTACAAGCACAGGGGAAGCGTTGCCAGCACAGTCTATTTATTCTGATGAATGCTGTGCTGAAGCAGATGGCCACTAAACAAGAAGTTTGTTTGTTTATTTGTTGAGTAAATAGATTGCACTGGTCTCAAATAGCACTCTTTAGCACCCAGTGGAACAAATCCACTTATCTGGAAGAAACTTCTGCTATTCCTCATTTTGTGTTTTCTGATCAAGAGATACAAGCTATAATTCATAATTATCACTCTACACTTTTGATAAAATACCAGAATCTTCTGACTAACAAAATGAGGCGTGGACTTTTTTCACAATGACAGCAGTTAAAGATTGGACTGTCTTACAAAGGGAGAAGGGAATGAATGCTCCATCACTTGAAATCTTTGAATCAAGAGACTGTCTTTATAAGATATATTTTCTGTATCAGCCAATAGTATGAAGATTGATGTAAGAACCACAGAAAATAATTCTATAATGGGCAATATATGGAAGGGCAAATGAGATGGCCATGATGCTTTCTGGTCTTAACCTGTCAGTCAAAGGGCATAAAATTTTACTTGCTGAGCTGGACTTCTGATCATGTGAAATAGAAGTACAAGTCTTTCCCTGCTTGTGAAGGGAGAACCTGGAAAGAATAGTAAACCTGGGGCAAAAATATACTATCCTTCTTTCAAAGCATCTTTAAAGTTACTTTGAATCCCCTTAAGGTTAACATAAGTATCCTGGTTATTCCAGCTGAGGTGAATGTTTAAAATGGAGTAGATAAATGAATGTGTAATTGATTCTTTGACCTGAAATAAATCTTTCATTTTTTTTTTGTTTATTTATTTATTTATTTATTTATGGTTTTTTTTTTTTTTTTTGGTTAAGCCTCGGGATGGACAACTAAAAGTTACTGTGGAGTAACTGGCATATTTTAAAGAAGTTCATCTTCATATTTCATATATGATATTGGTCTATGCTTTTTATAACAGTGCATTACAAGAAGGTGCTTCTGTGTTGCCTTTGTCTCCACAATAATCTCAAGAATCCATTTTATTCCACTGCAAAGTGAATCAATGTCTGCTCTCTGTTGGATCTCTGAGTTTAGAAATTTGAGAATAGGATTTCCCCATGATAAGATACAGGAAACAGAAAGAAAACATATTCAGTTTGTCTGTTGGCTGGAGCTGCTTTTAAAAGCAGAGGGATGTGTGGGTGGAGGATGTGAAAAGGATATTTTGTACTGGCATATATGTGTGTAAACAGCCATTCAGTGATTTGTAAAGAGCTGAACTGAACAACACCCAAGAAATATACAGTTTCTCCCCAAATCTCTAATGTTTGAAAGCTGGTTGGTTCAGCTCCCAATAACAGTTTTCATCAGTAGAGCCACAGACCAATTTTTTATTTATTTATTTTTAAATCTGTCTTTCAATCAGTGTAATTGATTGGCAACCATTGATTAAACAGTCATGTGGACCAGTGCTGACTACTTCAGTTTGGAAGGGGATGGGCAGGAAGCGGAAATTTCTGGAGTCTATATGTACATGCTGCATTGTACTGTCAACCAGATGGCCAAAGGCTTTAACATATTGTCTGTCAGACATGGACAGGCGAATGATGTTTGTAGCAGTTAAAGGTCTCCTCGAGGGTGTCAAAGCATCTTAATTTATTTTGGTCTTACTGTTAATTTAAATTTTTCTTGGGTTCAGGTACTGTGCCAACACTGTATGTTAAAGGAGAACATGACCTCAGAGGTCCTGTGTCTAGCTGTTTCTTTTGGGTAGCTTCCAGTGTAAGTGGGAACTTGTATGAATGTGGTTGTAAGATTTTATGAGATATCTTCATATTGGAATTATGCACCCTGTTGGGGCACTGGAACTGGTGCATCTCTGAAAGATTCTGCAGCTCAGCAATGCAGCAGTTTTAAAGGTTCACTAAGCATGGAGTTAGTCATCTGTAATCATTGTCTCTCGTGTATTTTCTAGATCTAAGTCAGGAACAGGGCACTGAACCTTGACAGTTCTTTCCAGAGGTGAGTGTTGTGGGTCAGTAAGATGATCAGCACCTAGACAGAGCAAGATTTCTTCTGTAGCTCTTCGGGTGGTGGTGGGATAGCCCTGGAGGTGGAAATGAGAGCAGATGTTGCCAAAGCAACTGTGTTGGCTGACTGTGAACTAAGGAGGGTTTAGAGAGAGGAGAGGCCTTAACGAAGGAGCACAGTGGAAGTAATTTCTTCTTTCCTTAGAGAATGAACAAGAAAGAAAGAGGTTGAATTCACTGAGAAGATCCTTACTTGGGAGAGAAGAAATATTTAACTGGGATGGTTAGTGGAGAATAGAAGCCAGAGGGTGAACCCCAGAGAACTCTGACTTTAACCTAAAGGACATCAAGGGAAGTTAAAGAACACACACTGAGAACCCATCACACCACAGCCTCGTGAAAGACTCTTTTGGGATACTTTTTGCTAAGGTTGTTTGATTTTTCCTTTGGGAATGAATACTGTCAAAGTTGTAGTTGGTGAAAGATTTTTGGAAGACTTTTTGGAGAGTATTGATGGAATTCATTGATTTCTGCCATTGCAAGCAATAATTTTCTTTCAAATCAGACTCTGAAACACTAGTCCCAGAGTCTATTATTAATTCCTGATGTCATTAAGAAATGTCTTCTTTGTCTGTGATGTACTGACATCTATTTTATAAGACACTGACATGATTGGAACTTCGATTAGATTTTCTAGCCAAAATGCCTGGCCCAGGATTCCCAGGAGCTAGGATTAAAATTAGCTTCCCAAATTCACATTTTAGTAATTCAGAAAATGATGTATTTTTTATTTATTTATTTTTAGCATTCTTACTGTCAAGTGCAGAAGTTACCTGCTTCTCAACTCTTTTGAACAGGTCAAGTATTTTAGTGCCCAATAATGTTACCTATTGTTGTAACCCTTAGCCTTCCTCCCAGGAAGAGCCATTCAGCCCTGTTCCCTATAAAGTCAAGAAAAACAGGATATGCTGCAAAATAGAAAGGTAATTGCTCTGTCTGTAGTCCTTCCTCCTCTGTTTTACCACGGTGTGAATACCTTACATGTGACATCTGCAGTCTTCACCTCATTGTACAGGGAGTCACCCAGGAACGCAGCAAGGAAGCAGGACTGGTTAAAGTAAGGGATATGAAGTTGGCAGCAAAATCTATTTCATCAACCCCTCCAAATAAGTATGTGTTGTTCTATGCAGTCTTTCTTAAGAATATCTTCAAAGTGTTCAATAGAGTCTGCTTTGACTTTCTAGAAGCCAATTTTGATACCTATACAAGTGATGTGGTTCTCATAGCTGCACTGGATATCATCTTGAAATATATTTGGTATTTCCAGCTGGAGTAAGGAGTAAGTGAGGACAGTAACCAAGATATACTAGTCTATAAAGACAAACTTCTCACTCTTCAGACTGAAATCACTTTCTGAATTAATATCCTTTTTTTTTTTTTTTTTTTTTTTTTTTTTCTTCACACTGAGATGTTTATCTTTAGATCCAGGGTATCCAAAATGGAGTGTACTTTATGCCAACCACAAAGGACCTCAGAATCATGCCTTACGTATTCATTCTGGATGTGCAGAAGCAGACTGTCCCCTGCTCATGCTTCAGTGCATTAACTAATCTTTAAAGAAGAGGGATTAAGGAGAAGCTTTGCCCATTAACAGGTTAGCTCTGGCTGTCTAGCTCTGGCTGCATGAGTTTGTCCAGGTTTCTCGGAGGTGTATGTTACCAATCACTGTCCAGAAGCAGGACACTGAACTAGATGGACCATAGGTGTGAGCCAGGTTCACAATTTCCAGGTAAATTTTCTACGATGTTGTACTTCTTTCTTGGTTTTTGATTCCTTCCAAGGGCGTTATGAATTGGTCTGTTTATTGGTGTACTGATACTGGTGTGTGGTAATTTGATGAGTCTTTTTTTTTTGCCTACTCTTATTTAGTCAATGCTCATCTTTTACCTGGTTCTGTCTAGGAGCCTCTTCAGCCAAGGGAGTCAGAGGAATATGTACGTGTCTCTGTGTCTGGAGGGTTGGAGAGAGGAATTATCAGTAAATGGAAAAGGCTGCTCAAACCTCCCAAGTTCTTTTATCTCAATTCTGGTTTTATTTAGACCTTCCAGTATCATTCAGTACAAAACAAAATCTACTTCTCACCACAAGCATAAGGAATAATAGTATTTAACACAGAAAACCTTTGTACATGCTCTTTTCTGTCATTTAAGTTGCTAAAATATAGCAAGGGAGAATTCTTCTAATACTGAATAGCATGAATGGAACTGATAGGGTTACTTTATTTGTCTACCGCTCCCTATACAGATACAGCTCTATACAATTCCCTATATAACACTTTTGGCATCAGCACTACCTGAGAGCTCTTTGCAGCTGCAGCCTATGCATTTTGCAGTAAAATTCTCTCCTCTTCTCTTTTCCCCCAGCTTCCCCCGCCCCCAGAGAACTGACACGCTTTCCACTGACAAACGTTGAGTGTAGCTCCTGAGGATTTAGCGTGTCAGGCTGTGTCTACACAGCTTAGGTTTCTATTATTACGCAATGGCTTAGGAGGCAGTGCTTTGCCACATAATTACAGAGCCGATCTGTATTAGGACCAGGAGTTTGGATGCCTCTTTCCCAACCAACTATTTGTCTCCCACCCACTCAAGCCTCCTCCCTGATACTCTTACTTGTTTAATAGCTTCTTTTTTTGTACCCTTCTTTTTCCTGGTTTCTGATTTTCTTCCCTTTCCTACACCTCATATTTGTTTATCTAAGAAGTGAGGGGTCTGACAGAGTTGTGCCTGCCCGCGGATTCGTATACAGCACTAAGCACTGGCTGTATGTTGCATCGTCAGAAGAGGTAAGAAGAAATTCCTGAAGCTGCCTGCTAGTTCTTTCCTGTTTTCTCTCTCTCTCTCTCTCTCTCTTTTTTTTTTTTTTTTTTTTTTTTTCTGTGTGTGTGCACATTGCTTGTCTTACAAGCCGTGCAGGCTCTGCCATCTAGAGCACTTTGTGAGATCACTCCAGTTTGCTGTTTTTCCTTTTTTCCATCTCTGCGTGAGTGTGTCTGTTTCTCCCTGTCTCTCCTCTCCCCCTCACCGTACAACTCAACCCCCCTCCCCAACACACACACACACATACACAGAAGCTGGGCTTGCTAGTATGAACTTGAAGACTTGCAGTACCAAAATGCATGTGTTACCTTGGGATGCACTAAGATCAGGCTGCTTGAAAAGCCTGCAGGCTGCTTAGTCCTCCAGGACTGTTTTGTTGTTTTTGTTTTTGTTTTTTTTTTTTTTTTTTTTAAACCAAACAGGAAAAGAACAAGTTATTCACTTTTTTTCCCTCTTTCTTTCTTTTTTATTTCCCTTTTTTGTGCTTTGGATATTACTGAATAAGGAGTCTCAGGGATTCACACACTTGGACTTTACTTGGCTGCATCTGCCAAACAATCTAGTCTGCATTTTGGTTAGCTGGAGACCAACCAGGATTTTTCTGATTATATCTTCTTATGAAAAAAGGATGCATGACATAGAAAGAAGGTCTAAGTGCCTGTCTGAGACTATTTTACCAAACCTGGGATAAATGTTACTTCTCAAAGGTAAGTGTTATTTTCTTCTTATGTGTGTATATAAACTACATAGCTATAATACAAACTGTATATAGATACATACACGGAACATTTTTATATAGTTAACTCCCTGATTGCAAGAAAATATGTTGCTATACATTTTAAAAGCATTGGAGAAATGTATAACTTTAACTTGCTGTTAATGTTAGCCTTGATAAGAATGTTCCCGTAGAGACATGAATCTCAGTTCAGCTTCTGCTTCTGTCTTGACATGAAAAGGCAGTTCAGAAAGAATATTTTTAAAGTGCCAATAGGAATTTTTTTCATGACAGTGTTGAAACAATGATGGAAAGACATTTGAAAAAGAAAAAGATATTAGTTTGTTTTCTAAGCCTGGGAGATAGAAGAAAGCTGTAAAAGTTATTTTAGCTTTCTGTTGGAATTTGTATAGCTGGTAAAGCTAAGCAGCAACTTTGCTGGACAGGTCAACTCTGCTGTATATAAAAACATACAGGAGAAGAGTGGGGACCTTGTCAAATGTCATCTGAAGAAATGGAAGGCACAGAGAAAGCTAGAGAAGGAAAGGGAGTGAAGGGGACGGAGGGGCAGCAGGCAGCTACTTCTGTGTTCACCGTCACAGAGGTTGGTGTTTTTGGTAAGGTGATGACACTGATGATGGACATCCAAAATTGGCAAGGTGGACATACGGGTGATGGAGTACACAAACAGGTATATGCTATGTCATGTCTGTCTGACGTCATCAGACATATAGGCTCTCTGCACTGAGAATTTGGGTGGGGGGAAGCATTTAAATGGCACCACAGGACAAGAAGTAGCAAAATTGAAACTGAGTCTCTCCCTGACTTGCATGGACACACGCACACCTTTGCGTTACAGAACAAGTGCATGACTGAATAAAAGAGTAGAAATAAGTGATTAAGTCAACAAGTCCCAGTATGATGGATTAGTTAACTAGAAATGTGTAGTGGTCAGTTATGGTAATGTGTGCAAAGAAGGATCTTATACAGTAACTCTTTCCTACTCAAAGGAGACAAATAGCATTGATGTAAAGCAAGATTATTTTGCTGCATATATATATATATAAATATATACATATATATGTTATTATTATTATTATTTTTTTTTTTTTGCCAGGGCTTATCTAGTGTTTTGTTGTTTGTTTGTTTGTTTGTTTTTAAATTTATTTTTAAGGCAGTATCATGGCAATATTTAGAGTGGGGGTTATTTTTCCTATTCCATCTTTGGGAATACTAGGACAGAATAACTCTTCTGATAAGAAGTGAGGCTTTGAAAGTCAAAGAGTAAATATTATGTAAGTTTAATAAAGTCACAATTGATTACATTGACACCTCTTAACTTTGTTATAGAATGTTCACTTTGTAAATCCAGCAGATGCCATGCAATTGTCACTGGTATTTTCTGTTCCTTGGGAAGGAGGAGATATTGTCTTGCAGGGCATCAATTTTCTATTGAACCCTGTACACAGAGGATGTGCTTAAGTAAATTCAAGCCTGCAGTGAGAGCGAAGAGAGACAGCTAATTACTTTTACTCTTGCTGTATTTCAGGCTGGTTAAGGTTTCATTGTTCACAGCTTGCCCTGGGTTGGTGGTTAGTTTGCATTGCCTACAGATAGCCACTTGAGCACAACAGAGTGCTTTCAGAGTGCACTGTTCATCGCTGTCTTGTCGCAGCAATGCAAAGCTCCAGACCTTCCCTTAAACTGCTATTAATTTTCAGGGAGGGAGGGGATGGAATCAAAAATAAACAACAATGCGAGGAGACAGAGAGAACTCATTATGTTCAACCAAGTCCTTTTTTTTTTTTTTTTCTTTTTTTTTCCTTTTAGCAATGAATCACAGCAAAAACCTCTACCGTCTCTCTCTCTAAGTCTCAGAGGCAGTGTCTGTCCCCTCCTCTCCCCAGCACAGCTCTTTCTTTTGGGCTAATCTGTGCCTGGCATCCCCCGATGTCTCTATGTCTCGTTGTGCTGGGCACTGGCACAGAGACAAGCAGGCAGCCCTGGGCACACTGTGCAGAGAGAGAAATGTGACCTGTCCCCAGAGGCACCATTTGCTGCTGCCCCCTCTGCCCCACGCCACTCCTTACAGCATTAGTACTCCTTGTTTAAATTTACATTTGGCACACGATTGCTGATTTTTCCCAATGGGAACGCCAAATGGTACAGGTAGCCTTGCCCTGCAGCCTCTGCCTGCCTGCTGCGCAGCTGGACCACAGCTGCCAGCTCCCTGCCAGTCCCTGTCAATGTGCTACCGATCCCTCTCTTTGCAGGGGACTCTCCGGCCACTGATTGAACCTTGCCATGCGGTGCTGTTAGGTTCATCTGATTGTTTGTTTCATTGTATTTTGTTTTAATTATAATTTTTCTCCCTGTGGAGGGATAAAACAAAACCAAAAAACAGGGAGCAGTTTCAAAATTATCAAAGTTTAACTGGTAGTAGTCAAAGGTGGGAATATACTTCAGATGGCTTAGATTTAATTTAACTCCCTGGGGAGGGGTTGCAACCTGAAAACCCTCAAAGCTGTGTTTGCTTTCCACCTGCATGGAGGGAAGTGAGGAGATGATGTCAGTGTCTGCTTACCACCACACCCAAGGAAACACCCCTTTTTGAATTGCTAAAACATTGCAGCCTTGATCATCGTTACAGACTTGATCATCTGTAGGAGCAAAAGGGTAGTTTGTTCCAAGTTTGCACTCAGTCTTCCTTCTGGCCTGAGCATTCAGCTGTGCTTGCTTTGGGTTCATGGTTGTATACTGTCTCATGTTATTTTTATGAAGAGAGTGACTGTCCTCTAGGTGCTGGACTGAAAAACAGTAATGCCATTGTGAAAGGTGTAAAGAAACCATCCATGGTTCCTTCCAGATAGTCCTGATTTCCATGGAATCCATTACCCAACACCAAATGGGCCATTCCTGTTTCCATTATTTCCTCTATTTACCTTAACCAATTATCTACTTGGTTATCCATGTCTCCAAACGTTGTGACTAAGGGTCTCACAAAAAATGCTAGGATTTACTGTAGCAGTGTCCAGCTGTGCACATGCTAAATAGCTTACAGCCATCAAGTGGAACTTGTGACAACAGATAAGGAAGTGTCCAGGTGTGATGTGCCCAGCATGATGCAGCACCTCAGCAAAGGGCCTGCTGTCACTTTACTTCCCAGCCCACCTCCATCCAGGGTGCACAGGAGGGAAGGGAGCTGGTAAGTGGTACTTATGCTTCTAGGAACTCAAATTGCCTTCTCTGTGGTAGGCCACCAAAATTTCACAAGAAATTAACAGATGTAAACATGTCATTAAAAGGCGCACAGTGATGCTTCTTGGAAAACTGGGAAAAAAGCATGTAATTTATAAGTTTTTCTGCCTCCCTAGGAGCAACAATTGTCTCCACACTTCGGAATATTTGCAGGACAGTGTTTCCAATTTTTCTTCCTTCCTGTCATTTTCTCTGTCCTGTCCTGATCTGGGACTTTGATGATATCCTCATCTTCATGCAGTAACATTTGTGACAAATCCAGGATGCCAACTTCAGAATATGAAATGAGCAGTAGCAGCAGCAAGTGAAATTCTCAGAAGTCAGAAAATATTTTAATTAAAAAATGCTGATTTGAAAACTTGGGGGAAAAGGAAGAGATATGCAGTTAGGCTCTGGTCCTATGCAGAATCCCTGTTGACCCAGTTAGAAGAGAGCTGAGTGGGATTTTTAAGTGGAAAAAAATGCTCTTGTTTTTCTCATTACAATATAGATTTATCAGAATGAAACATATTTGGAAAATGGTCAGGTTTATGAATTCGTTGGCTGAAAAAAAAAATGTAGGGAGAAAATTGACAGTATACCCCATCTTATTTTTTTTATGGAAGAAAAATTGAATAATTTCTTTCTAGTTTGTGCATTTTATATCAAAACTGAAAGCAATTTGTACAAAACCTGATCTTAAAAGAGGGATCTTAAAAGAGGCTGTGCTCAAATCCCATTTTGCTAAATTACAAGTAAATCTGTCAGTCAAACTGGAACTAAATATTCCTAGTTTATTAAAAGGCTTTCATAGTTGTTTTTTTTTTGTTTGTTTGTTTGTTTGTTTTCTCAGTTTGGGCTAAGGCAATTGTTAGTACTTTCATTCCCATTCATGGGTTCAGACAACATTTGCCTGCCAAGCCCTACCTGGAAGTCAATTTACTTACTCAAGCAGTATTGTGCCAGGAGTGTCTTGTCAACATTTGCTCTGGGGTACCAAGGCCTCTGAGTGTCTGCTCTTGAAACCAGTCCTCCAGATACAGAAAATTTATGTGCTGAGAGATTATGCTAGCTAAATAAGAGTAGCCATGAAAGTATGGCTGCAGTGATAATATGTGCAGTACAAGGGAGCATTTAGGATGTTTCTGCTAATTGCTCCTCAGGATGGATCTGGTCTCTAATTCTCTGGCAGATGTTCTGCTATCAACACGGTGTTATGAAAAGAGGTGAGATAAGGAGAGGGCCCTGGAATAGCAGTAAATCCAGGGCCCTGGACCTTGGTTGGTCAGAAGGTGAGAGGCAAAGCTGGTGCATCCTAGTGCATACCAACGTAGGTGCTGAGCTGCACAGAAAGCTGGATTAAGGATGAAATCAATAGAAAGCACATGATGGTAGAAAACACCTTGTCTAATTTAATAGTGATAAAGTTGCACTGAAAATCCCTGGAAAACACATGTATGGCACTGGTGCATAAAGTTATCAGTATGACTCTTTTTCCCTGAAGCCAGAGAAGGCAGGTCAGGGTTGAGCAAAAGTCTCTGTGCAGGTCTAAGACAAATTGCCATAACAGTCCAGTTAAGACTGTAGAGTTCAATATTACTTTACTTGGAGAAAAACAGATTTTGAGAGACCTCAATATGGTCGAGCCCACTGGACTGCAGGGATCAGACACGTATTATGTTGGAAGTAATACATACACTGGAAAGAAAGTTAAAAAAAAAAAATGTATTATATATATTTCTGCCTTTAGAGTTG